TACCGGCCAGGGCGCGGGGCGGTCGCCGAGTCCTCGGGGCGCGCAGCCCGGTGTGCCTGCTCCGCCATGATTGCTTTGTTCCGCTCATTGAACCCGCGCTCGTCCCGCGCTCGCGCTCCCCGCTGCCCGGTCCCCGCGCTCGCGCCTGTCTATCTGTCTGTCTCCCCCATCGGTCGGTCGGTCGGTCCGTCCGTCCGTCCGGCTCGCCCGCGTCTCAGCCGCGGCTTGCTGCTGCAAGACGAGGCAGCCCGGTGCTGGGTGTAGGGAGTGCGGTGGTGGGTTTTGTAAATACAGGTGAGGCGATCCCCAAATCTCAGGCTGAGGTGCACTTGCTAAAGGAGGAGGAGGAGGGGGTGCGTCTCGCCCTCCCCCACGCAGGAGAGTAACCTCCGTGGAAAGTGCCAGAAGATGCCTCTCTGGCCATCCCTCCCTTCCCGCCAAATTCTCAGCCACTCAAGGTCTCTGGCATACATGGACTCAGCAGAGACAATAGCTTCTAGTTTACTTCGAAAACCTCAGGTATCTGTGGTGTCCAGCTGCGGAAGGGCTGCCCAACAGCCACCACCACCACACCGAGAGGCACATGGTCACTCGGTGGCCTACTGGAGCCACTTCAGCTCCATCGGGAAAACACTCCAAACTAGCGCTGAGACCATGGAAAGTTCCGCAGGAGCTTGAGGGCTCCGCTCACCCTTTGTGAAAAAGTACTAGTGCCTAGGACATTATTGCCCAAGCGTAGACTGAGCTTAAATTTTTAAGGAAATAACGTTAGTCCTGGAAGAAAGGCTTAAGATCCCGTTATGTATCTCTGGTTAAAAGTGCATTGGTACCAGTTTTGACTATGGTTAATACAGGCATGATTTGGTTTAGGCAGATTGATAATGAGATTCTGGGACTCTGAAACAAAAAAGTTTCTGGGGTTGTGGCCTCATTTATCCAAAAAGCTAGTCTCCCAATCTCTATTTCTACAATGTTGAGACCAAAATGTTTCAGTATTTGAAAGTTACCTGCATCTTGCAGTAATACCCTGCCTCGTGTCATTGTCGCATTCGTCTCATCACAAGAAGATCTTGTCCTACCTACGTTTCTTTTTGTGTGTAGAGGACTCCAAACAGAGTAACGTCACCCTCATAAGTTTGGATCAGACGTTTACAGGTGACATGATGTATTGGTTATGTGGGTCAAAGGGCCGCCTGATCCATCAAGACAAACGGATAATGAGCGTTCATACTGTTGGCCAGTCACATTCGTTGCCCTAACCCTATGATCAATTCATAGGCAGTTAAGCATTTGGACTATGAAAGTAGACGAAATCCTATTGTCAAGAAGGACCCCAAGCACAGGTCCCTTTAATACATTCTTTCACAGGGAGGTTCATCAGAAATTGGAATCGTTCCCCTCCACCCCACCACCACCCCCGCTTGAGATCTTCGATACATCTCACCAAAGTTTTGAATGCCTCAACTTCTCCCTTAAATCTGACCTTAGGAAACAGCCCCATGCTCATTTACCATCCCCCAGGAAGGTTCTTCTCTTGGTGTCAGATATGAAATGCTTAAACTTCAAAACTCTTGAGTATAGGGATAATGTATTAAGTACATGGATGGATTTGTATTTCACAAAGTTAATCTTAAGGCACCATAATATTTTTTAATTAGATGGCAATACTGTATTGATTTATCTAATGACTTTGATAGTGTGTGGATAATTGATGGTCCATTTTGACAGGAACTTTACCTAATACAGGATTTTTTATTTTTATTTTTTTGCATTGGCACCATGTTTCCTGTCTAGTCTAAGGTTGATTTTCTGTGTCACTGACTCTGAACCAAGGTTTGTTTTGGAAGCTTTTAAAGGAAGACTAATCAGAGCTACTCTTGCCATTCTGAACTCTTGTCTCTTTCACCACAGAGTCACATGGTGCATCTACATATGTGCCATTCCATCCTTATTAGTGAAGAGCAGTCTGTACCTAATTCCTAATAAAATGATAATTACACCACCCACATTCACTGGACTGACACTGAAAACCTCCAGAAGCGTTGCATAGCCAGATTCTCCTTTTAGTGACTTAGACTGTCACATTGATGGCTCCCAGTTTATCACACACACCTCCAGTGTTTGTATTCATGTACAGTCCTCTCAGGAGGTCTGCTTGTGTGAATTGTTCAAGCCTATAGGAAATGTAGTGTAAACAGAAATGATAAACACCTACATATGGGGCCTTGTCCTTTTGGAACCTAACTGCTATGTGTTAAGCATGTCTAAACCATCCTGCTAGAGAGAGGGGTCATGAGGAGGACCGATGCATTAAGGCCCCCCCGCCCCCACCAAGAGCTGAATGATGCAGAGGCAGGAGTGTTCCCAGGCACCATGATGTGATACAGAATAGGTTGTCCAGTGACACACGGATGTAACAACAAATCACTGCTCTTTCAGAACACCAAGTTTTAGACTAGTCTGTTGTGCAGTAATTACTGATACAGCCTTTTCCCATTTCAAGACTTAGGATGGAGCCACAACGTGAGGATAAAGGGAAAGAGACTGGAAAACTAACAGAGCTTCCTGGAACAAGAATCCCATCTGTACTGTCTTAGAGCACAATGAAAACTACTCCACTGAGCTGACAGCTACGCTAGGAATTAGACACAAGTCATCACCTTAGAATTAAGAGCTGTGGGCTGGACTGGTGGGCTCACTTACAAGTGGGACATCTTTTTCATGTCTGGACTGGTGTGCTCACCTACAGGTGGGACATCTCCATCACATCCCATCCCCACAAGGCACTAAGACCATCAAAAAGAAAGGGTTATTAAAAAACAATTTTGTTGTATGATGTTTTTATTTATTTGAAAGTTTTTTTAATAATCAAATTTATTTTTTAAAAAGAGAGTGGGTGGTGAATATGATCAAAATACATTGCATGTATGTATAACACTTTCAAAGAATTAACCATGGGATAAGGAAGTAGTCAAGCCAGTAACCTGTGACACAAACACAAGGACCTGAGTTCAGTTCTCATCCTCGGAGCCTCAGGAGGAAAAGCCAGTGATGGTGGCACATGTTCATAACCCAAACACTGGTAAGGAGAAGCAGGCAGATCCCTGCAGCCAGACTACACTATTTGGCAAGCTCCAGGCCTCTACACCCATGAACAGGGACATGTGTACATGTGCACACATACCCCCTTACACACACACACATGAATGTTTATTCACACATGAATGTTTATTGACGTGAAAGAGATAACAAGTTCAGATTGTATTTGAACCCCAGCCATGTCACCCAAGTGATAAAACACAGTGGAGGACTGTGACTTCTTGTAAATTCCAGTCCTTAGGACTGTGGAATTTAAGCCCATTTTAAAATACACACTTGCACTAGGAAATTGCTCAGGCGAGGCCAAATGAGAAGAAATGATCTAAAATTAGGGGGTATACAGACATAGAAATAAAACATGGACATTATTTATAATTTATTAACATGGTTATTGTGGTTCTTGGGTCTGAATTAGTCATCAAAGAGCCTAGCTAGACCCTTGAAAATGAATTACCTTGTCTGTGTTCTCTGATATAAAGCTGATATAAACACACACAGAGACACACACACGCACACGCGCACACGCACACGCACACACGCACACGCACACGCGCACACACACACGCACACACACACGCACACACATGAGTTACTCAGATTTCAAATGGATGAAAACAAGAGAGTCAATGTCTCAACATGCCAAAGGACATATTTTTCTAAACTTGAAAACATAAGCAGTACTTGTCCTTAAAAGATGAAGTCAAAAGAATCCTGAATATGACCACACATTTCATCTTCCTTCTAAAAACATATATTTACAAGTTAAGCAAAATAAAATTGATAAAGCCAAAGTAATTTACCTTAACAATATTAACATAGTATAACAACACTGCCAACACATGGGTGTGCCTCATGTCAATTATTGAGTGCTGAGCACATCTGCAACTCCTGTGTGCTAGTCAAAGTTCTGTGCAGGATGTTCCTTTTCATTATGTCCCCTGATCTTATCTAGATAGACATATTCAGTTCTGATATGTTTTAGTCCATGATAGTTAAAACTGAGACACCACATACCAACTATAGACAAAATAGAGGCATTAAACTGAAGTATAATATAAGTGTTTTTGAGGTTAACATTAGATTATGAATCTGATCTAAATAGAACTCTTATTAGGTAATCTGCACTGGGGGGACAGTCAAGGGACCTGAGTTTGCATCATGTGTTTGAAACTAACTTTTCTAGGACTTTTAGTTCATGTCCTGGAGGAGCTGTACAAGGATATACTGTGGCAGAGGTGGGTTGGGGATACCTTTTGTGACAAGGATATTTTTCAGGATCATAGCAGTCAACCTTCTAACCCTGCTATAACTACATGGCACATTTATATCTCTCTTTGATTTAAGTTTGACCTCTTGCAAAGATAATTCTATTAAGCTATTTTACTTAAAAATGTAGGCATGTGGTCAATATTTCCTTCCAAAATATACCCAGTGGTGGTAAACTAAATCCCTCTTCTGTTATGCCTCCCGCTTGTATATTAGGTTCTCAGGAAATAAATTTCAGTCTCAGGAAAGAAAGGTTCTGGCTAAAAAAGATGATTTTTCAAATCTCACCAGAATAAAGCTTGGAAAAGCCATGCTTTTCTGGAATGCCTGTGGATGCCAGTAGCAGCAGAGTTAGGAAGTGATCAGATTCTCCTAACTCAGTTTCATTTGCCTTTGTTTACTGGAAAACTACACTCACAGCATCCATGGCAAACCAAGAGTGAAGCCTTGCAGGTCCTGACAGCGCTGCTCTCACACTTGGCACAGGCCAGGCACTTCTTGGAATAGGCACAGAACCTTCTACAAGCACAGCTGCTGCTGGACTTGAGGTCCCAGAACCCAGGCACAGCTCTGGGAGCAGCCAAATTAGTGTGTTCCCAGCCACGACCACTCACTCACTTTCTGTATCTTGAAATATTAAAATAAGCCCAAAGTGTCTTTAAAATTTAAAATTTAATTATACCCTTTGGAATCCATGCTTTGGAAAGCATTTTCCCCCTTAAATAAACCAATAGTTGGAACACATTCACATACACACAATATATATGTATATTAAAGTGTGCTTAGAAAACTCTGTTTACTATAGTATTTGGTTTAGCAGGAAAATGGAGAAATCCACAGTTTACACTTCCATGTGCTTTTGAAAAGATTTTCAAAACATAGCTAGTAAGCATTTGTCTGTTCAGCGATGCATGCACTTGTTTGTGAAGCAAATCTTATCTCTGAGTAGTGACCTATGGGGCTAGAGAGATGAAAATGACTTCCCCGTTAGATCCTGATATTGTGTGCCTGCTAAAGCAGCCCTGTGCTGCTCTATGCAGAATAATAAATGCCAT